TCTATTTATATATGTGTGTGCCAACCCACAAATATTGTAGTTCTACTTATTTTGATTAGGCTCACTGAAGACGTCTCCTCTTCGCTTCTGATTCTTATTTTCTCATCCCCATACGATCTATTTTCCTAAAATTAAGAATATTACCTAGATCTAGTCGTCTTCTTTTTGCTGATCTTGCTCTTGCCTAGTCTTCTCCGAGTTTGTTTAGGCAATAAGTAAAGTTTTCGCTGATCCTGCCTTCTTTAAGTCTCCTGTTCATTAGATTTCTCTCGGTCAGTATTTCGATGGCCTCTCGGATCTTGCGTTTTCTCGTATTTTCACCACATACAGCCACAGTTCTGATTATTTCCAGTTGATTTCGTGCCTTGTTCGTGCAATGTGTTCCGCTATTTCGGATCTTTTCGTATCCATGTACCTGCAGAGTCTTTGATGTTCCCTGATTCGTAGACCGATTTTTCTTCCTGTTTCATCAATATACTTCTGCTAACAGTTTCCGCAGTGGATGCGATAAACTCCCAAGCATTCAAGTTTATCAGTCTTCTCATGTTGTGTCGGCAGACTAGTGAAAAGTGTCTTCTTCTCCTTATTTTATCACCCTGATATTCCATTTCCTTAGTATCGGTCGCAATTGTTGGCTCAGTTGTGATGAGGGCAGGCAAATCCACTTTTGGTTGTCCTACTGATTCCTGATCTGATTTTCATAAAATCCAGGGTTGAAATCGGCCCTTTATAATCTCTACATTTTTTTCCACAAATCCTCTGGGATATCCGTTACTAAGACCAATCCGTGTCACTTTGTCCAGCTCCTCGTCCCAGAACTCCTTGTCCGTTAGTCGTAAACTTCTGATGATCAAACTCCTCGCTATTCCGATTTTCAGTCTGTAGTTATGATGGAACTGAAAAATTAGGATTATTCCCGCATATGAATTCCTTCTGTATAGTCTCCTCATTAGTGTCCCCTTGGAGCGTATGACTTAAACATCCTCCTTCACCTCCATTGGGAATTTAATTCTTTCGTCAAGTTGGTTAATAAAATTGAGGAATTCATTTAGATTTTCCT